CATCCAGTCTGTCCGAGGTAATGAAAATCATCTAATGACATCATGCTTTCAACTGTTCTGAGCTCAGTTTTTTGTGTAGATAACTGACAATCTTTGGTGGGAGCAACACTGAATGAGGTCACTATGCCAGATCTTCATAGCATCCTGTAATCCAGTAACAGGGATGGCTGGAGGGGGCAAGTCACATTTCCCCGAACCTTCTACCAAACACCAGAAAAGGTTTGCCGTAATACACAGGGCAGCTAGCTAAGTTCTGTGCCAGACCCAAAAAGAAAATAAAGAAATAAAATAGAATGAACACAAATCCCCCTTACATGGAAATACATTGTCTATTGACAATTCCATTCAATCTTGTCATGGCCATTAATTTTAATGGTGCCCTCGCCAAGTGGGAATGCAAACATGCCCTGCATCGACCAAAAATAAAAGAGTATCTGAGCAGATTATTAGCCTTAGATTTAAAATTTAAATTTTAAAGGTTAGGTCAGTCGGAAATCAATGTTAAATACAAATATGAAATGTGCAAACAAATTGGACTCATTGCATTATACATTTTAATCAGCACGTAATCAAATCAGTGTGCTAGCAGTTTCTTGATTCTCCATATTTGATTTTAGCTAGTACGTGCCAAGTAGTGTTGGCAGGAAGCAGAGCTGTGTTTTGAAAGCAAGCCTGGCCATATAGCAGTAGAGTATCGTGTTATAAATGGTCACCCTGGCTGTGATTCAGTGCTCAGCCACCCTCGCTTGTTGCTCTTAATGACATGCTGCGATTGCTGATTACATGACGTGCTAATGCTCATTTACTGGCGTGAGTCCTCCTGGGCTGCCTAGCAGAGATAAAGTAAAAACATCCCTGATTGCCGCCCAAGCTAAGGAGTGCCAGTGAGCCGGTGTGGTCTGCTGATTCTTCAAATTTTCAGTCTCCATGAAGAACATCAGAAAATCTTCAAATCAATAGAAGTATGAAGATGCACAGCTTGTGAAAGCACCCGACTGCTCTTGTCCCAGCGTTCACAGGTTTCTTCTATTGATTTGACACATTTCTCAGAAGGTTCATTCTCTCAAAACAATTGAAGCGGCAATTTGAACACTTGACTTTGCAAAACATACTGTACATTCTGATTAATGTAATTGATTTTGTTGACTTCATCCCCTTTATATCTGTGTATTATGCACAATACAAACATGTAGAAATTTAAATGCAATGAAGTGTAACAACATCCATATAATTGGAACACAGGTGACTCTAGGCTTTTCTCCCAGGGGGAGCAAGGTGAGAGAGCACAACTAGTCATTCATACAGAAAAACTCATTTACGCGCGCACACGCACACAGGTTTGTACTGTGATATCTTTGTGGGGACTCTCCATTCATTTCTACGGGGAAAACTCTTCCCAACATGACAACCTGAACCCCTACCCAGCACTAACCTTAACCAAAAGAAAGCAAACAAAATACGAGACTCTTGGCATTTTTACTTTTGATTGCATTGACAGATCTTTGTGGAGACCTGAAAAATGGTCCCCACAATGCCAAAATAACAATGTAATATAAACCTAACCTACACACACACACACAAAATTCTTAATATAATTTTATTGAACTTAATATGTTCTAACATCAGGCAAGTTGGGTGTGCAATTGCAACCCATATTTGCTGGTATAATGTCTTGGACTCAATTCTGTAAAGGATTTGATCTCTCTAATAATCATGAGTTTTCATTAGCATATACATGTATAATGTATGTGCTTATATCTGAAAGTATCAGATAATAAATACATAAATATGTTTATTAGGTTTGACATCACTGATATTCATGGTGGTGCAGTGGTTCGCACTCTTAGCTCACACCTCTGAACCCAATACTCAAGTCCCCGCCATGGCTACATGGGTGTAGAGTTTGCATGTTCTCCCTGTGGGGATTCCTCTGGGTACTCTGCTTCCCCCCCACCACAGTCCGAAAACATGCTGAAGTGAACTGGAATTACCACGTTGCTGATAGATGTGAGTGGTTGGCAACCCATCCTGGGCCGTTCTGCTCCTTGTCCCCATTGGCTCTGAACCCTTGTAACACCCAATAGGATAAGCAGCTACAGAAGATGAATGAAGTTTTTTTTTTCTGAGGTGCTGTCTATAAAGAGTGCCTTGTTTCATTATGATCTGGTGTCAAGCATTCATCCATTCTCTATAACTATGAGGGGGGGGGGGTGGAGCCTATAGGCACAATCTCTCTCAGGAGTAGCTAGAGGAAACGCCCCAATGACACGGGGAGGACATGCAAAGTCCGCACACATCAAGCCATGGCAGAGACATGCATACCGGGGCTGGAGGGGTGAGGCAACAGTGCAGCACCATGCCAACTCTTGGATTATCCAGGTTTGCAAAACCACGGGCATTAACAAAAAAAATAATAGTAATTAACATTTTGGAATGCTGGGATATGTGATTTGTGAGCATTGAACTTAGTGTTAAATCAGTTGAATACCCAGAAGTCAGAGTATTTATAACAAACAGACCAAAAATAGCAGCCTTTGTTCTTAATAGTACTTTCCTTTTTTGGTATTTTTGTCTTACACAAACAAGTGGACTCGGCACGTAGCAGCTAGAATATTCCTTTCCTTTAACATGGCTGTTTGCGCTCGTTCCACCTGGCTGCAAAGGATCCCGCCCACAGGACCCCAAACCTTATCTCTGTCATTGATACTGTGAAGCAAATGATTTGCTATGGGTTTAATTTAATTTTACAGCCCAGCAATTGTGGTTATCAGTCGAGTTACTATTAGCAATAGCTAGCACAGATTTTACACTAATCAGATAAGAATCTTACCTGGACTCAGTTTAAAAAAATATATTTTCCAAAAAAATAATTAAAAACATTTATTTTCCATAATGTGTATGTCAACAAAATGTCTGGACAACAGATTAATTCCAAAATAGTAATAGTCATATATAAAACATTTGAAACACTACCTGTCATTGTTGGGGTAGTACACACAGAGCCATCATGGATCACAAACCTGGGATCTTCAGATCAGTAGGAGGGTATGAGATATATCTTTATTTACTGAATAGTACTGACTAAAACATACAATTATGACAGCTGCAGACTGTTATATGACTTTTCCATGGATGAGAATCACATCTTTGAAAGGATAATTAAAAAACGGAACCCTAGCACTCAAGGCATGATTCTCTATAGGAGTCATCGTGAACGACCCACTTAATGCCCCTCCCATTCTGAAACACATCATTAGCATCCCCCAAACACACACTTATAATGCTGCCAGAATGCAGCAATACACCGATGCATAGACCAAATTGACATTTTTAGCTCTCAAATGCACCAACTTTTTGAAAGTGATAATATGACATCTATTGCTACATGCACATTCACGTCAATACGGGCAACATTTCTTGCTGTTTAAATTAAATTCTGTAAGTAACTAAATATTAGGATACGAAATCAAATTTTTACAAATATTTACAAATATTTTCCCCCAAAATAAGTTATTTTTGACTTTGGTCGACTTCATTTTGTATGACACCTGGTATAGCTTATACCTTTCAATATGCCACAAGGTTACTCCATTTTCCATTTTTCTTCTGCCTTGTTAATAGACAAACTTCCAGCCTCAATGTAGAAATAGATTAGCTGCCAACGCAAACTGCAGAATACATAGCGGTTCATGAGATAAATATTTAAATGATCTTAAGCATAAGTGGCTAATACATCTCTATTATGCGAGCTTATTTAAATTAGTCAACAGCCGCGGGGGCCCAATATCTGAAGAGAAAACAGCAGAGTACAAGTCAAGGCTCTGATGAAATAGGTCAGCAGTTCTCAGACGCATGTTTAATCAAAGCTCATGGGAACATAATCTCACTTGCAGGTCCAGACGTGTTTGGATCTGCCTGCAAAGAAAAGGCTGACAATGGGAAAAATTGACATAAGGAAAAAAGAGAGAAACTCTCTTCTGATACAAATGCTCCACCCATCCATCTTCCATAATCACTTATCCAGAACATGTTTCCCAGGATGCACTGAGCAAAGCGGCAGGAACGCCCTGGACTGGATGCCACGTCCATCATTGGGCACCAGAGTTGAGTAATTCAGGTCTAAAGATTTTGTTTCAACCAGCATGAAGAGTCACTGAACTGGTTGGTTGAAACAAAATCCCGGTCTGGACTTTTACTCTCAGGACCCGTGCTAGGCTCACACAATAATACGCAATGGGCAATCGAGACACACTAATACATCTAACCACATGTGTTTCCCTGCAGGAGGAGATCTGTGCAGACCTTCCAGCCCCGCGCACTCGGGATTTTAAAACCCCGCAGATAAAAGACTATACTGCCACCCACAGAGACACCCTGCCAACTACACTGACCCTAAAATACATATATACTCAAGAAAACTATATAACTTTTCATCTATAATCATGATCGTTCCCATGGCATTTTCTACAGGATAGTATCTTTATTTGTCTGAAAGAAACACCGCTCTTGGACGGGCATCCATGCTAACAATGTTGGGGTGGTGTGTGGGTTAACACTCTTTGTTGCAGATTAATTTGACAATTGGGCATTTAAACATGGGCTGTCGATATGAATAAAGCACCCACTAAATAAATGTAACGTATATAGAAAATTGTTACATGTATAGTTTTGGTCATGTTAGGTGTAGGGAAAGGAGGATGCTCAAGTTATGGGATGATATATATCCATCAATCCCTATTCAGGTACTGCAATCCAGAACTAGGGCAATTGTATAGCACTTGCTCCAATACAGCTTACACTCATCACCGTGCTTTCATTGGGAGCTTAGCCTAGCCACACTTATGCCAGGTTGACTCTTTGACAGCTGTATGTTTGTAATGTGCTATTAGCCATTAATGGATGTAAATGTTTGACAGTCATATACCAACAATACTACATCTGTGGGATGGGGGAGGATAGAATGAATGGATGTTACTCAACAAGAAAACAGTAGGACTCACCGGAGGCCATAGAGCACGGTGCCATCGGGGTGCAGCCGTATCATGCGGTTCTTCACTGTCACGCCATGCACAAAAGACTTCTTGTCATTGATGAAGTATGTGTCCGGCACCCACAGCTGGTCAGCCACACGGTTATCCAAGGTGAGGTTGAGAGGGATCCCCGTGTAGGACAGACGCTTGTCCCGCCATGACTGCTGGAAGTACATGGTGATGGTGTAATCCTGTGAAGATACATGGCATAAGCTACAGTATGGAGTCAACAGGTTGGGTTCAAGGTCAAGGGAGCATTTAAACATTGGAAAGGTGTTTGTGGATGTTCACAGTCAATACTAGTCATGTAACGATGAATTGTGAATCGGTTAAAAATCGATGTAAATGCATGATGATTTAAACCGGCTGATGTGGAAAATGAATCGATGCTTTAGGATTACTTCACAGTACTTTAACAGAAAAAACTGGTGCACGACATCAGCTCGACGTTAGATGTCACTGCGTATTCACGTCGACGTTGTACGTCAGTTTTTGGTTTTGACCGAACGTGAGATGGCGAGCGAATTTCAAATTGAGGACGGCGTGGTGGTGCAGTGGTTAGCGCTGCTGCCTCACAGCAAGAAGGTCCGGCTTTTAGTCCCGGGTCCTTTCTGTGTGGAGTTTGCACGCCCTCCTCGTTTTCGCCGGGTGCTCAGGTTTCCTCCCACAGTCCAAAAACGTGCAGGATAGATTGATTAGTGAGTCTAAATTGGCTCTGTAGTTGTGTGAGTGTGAGTGCGTGCACCCTGTGGTGTGTAGGCGAGTATTTTTATTTTTTTTATAAATTGGCAAAATAGTTTATTTTTTAAATAAGTCGCTATCAGCAGCAAATAATATCAGAACTAGTGATGTATTACGTTGTTTATGGTACAGGTTTGCGTGGAATGCTGTTGGCATGACAGCACGTCTGTAAGCACTGGCAAATATTGCGGAGCTCACATGATTTTCTGTTTATTTCTACAATCACAGAATCACTAAATCCTAGAGGGACTGGTTAAAAGATTGGAGCGGGTTCACTTTGTTTCAGCAGAAAGGTTCAGCTCCTCATTAAATTATGAAAGACTCCATGAGTCTTTATCCAGGAGTTTGAGTCAAGTCTAATGTGAATTAGGAACATGGTGTCAATCAAGTCATTAGTCTTTTTAAGTGCAAATTGAGTTTAACTCAAGTAGGAGTCGCCAACTGGAGTGTCCATCTCTGAGTCAGGAGGTTTCATATTTATTGATGTTGATTGATTCCATCCATCCCTAGTTCCCTGCAATATGTATGGTTTCCTGCATTGTACCCATTTCTCCTTGAAAAGGACCATCTTTCTCCTACATAAAGGTCCTGTTCCTTGTCAGCCAAGCTTAATATAGATATGTTCACCATTATGACCAGTGACAGTTAAAGAATATAGATAGAACTGGTGGTGGAGCCAGATGAAGTCTCATGCTATAAGGATGCCACCTGGTCCCTGACATGTCCAGCGGGAGGGGGGCTCAGGATAAGGTCCCTGACATGTCCAGCGGGAGGGGGGCTCAGGATAAGGTCCCTGACATGTCCAGCGGGAGGGGGGCTCAGGATAAGGGACCGGACAAG